GGTCATGCGGGTCACGGGCCATCAAAATTCATAATACCGACCCGACTTAAAAGTCGGGTCGGGTCAAATTAACCCGGTCGACTCGTATCGTTCGGAGCACTATTATTTTTATTTTTACTGGACAACTTTTGCGGAGTACCTATCATAATATGTCACGAAAAATTGACGGGATATTTTGCATAACCGGTGACACAATCCTCGTGTTTAATTTACAATTGAAAGGAAAACATTTCACGCATCATGTGACAAAAGAATTTTAATATGGAATATTAATAATAAATAATTTGTATTTGTAATTGCTGAACTTGGGAGAGACGGAAATATAATAACCATTTGCCATAATGATGTACGTACGTGGGTCGAAGGCTTTTTTTTCAATTTACATACAGAGTTTTATTAATTAAGGCTCATAACACCTTGATATAAATGGCTGTGGTAGGCACCACTTACAATTTTAACTCTCTATAGATGACACCTTAACATATTATCGTGATTTATCGTCAATATTTGCATTAACGAACATTTTATCCCAAATGTCAATACTAATTAAAAAAAAATATATATGTTATCAAGTAATCTTTCTTGAAGCCACATCTTTATATTTTTTCTGCGGCGGTAAATTCATTACTAAACGTTTTGTACTTGCGTTAAGGCACTGACTAATTGAATAATTTAACTTAAATTTTTTATCATGGACAGTCGGTTCTGCGAAAATATTAATTGACTCAAAATATACTTACAGGATGGTTTGCTTACTAAAACATCCATTCTGAAGATAATTTGATGTCTGATCATTGTATTAATGTGTTACAAATATAAGCTTAAGGCAATAGATATCTTCGGCTGCAAAAATGTAAGGAATACACGATTATGTGTGTGATAAGCTACTGCGCCATTTAAATTTTTACATCGAAGTTATTGTTCTCAAAGAATTTTAAATGAGAACATATTTTTAATAACTAAACATGCTTTTTTTAGAAAAAAGAAATAAAAGAAATATCCTTGTGATGTATTTTAAGGTTCAATACTTCTTTATTTAGATCAGCCAAACAATAAGTATAATGAAATACTTAAATTTATTGTTGTTTATTGTTTACTTTGAGTGTATGTATTTATTTATTACATCGAATTAAATTTGCCAATCAATCATGTTGCATTATGTTCTTTGGCCAAATGGTCGCATCATATATTAAAAGATTTAATTTTTAACTTGACAATGATAGTATTCTTAAGTCGTGAATTTTATGATCTTGCTTACGGAATTGCTGCGCTACGTGATCATAATAGATTTTAATCGTAAAATATTATCACTTTTTATAAATGTTTTTCAAAGATTTAAAACACGGGAGACCTTATTAAAAATAAAAATAATAAATCGCACGAAATAGATGTTTATGGCCATAATTTCTTTTTGAAATGATAAATGGCTATCTCAAAATCGATATCATTTATTCATGATAAGTCAATAAATACTTTACCAATAAATGCAAATCTTGAATTGATATAATTTGACGATAATAAACTGCAACAACAATATTTTTTAATTTATACATATAAATGCTTTTACATGCATGCAATCTACATTTAGATAGTCTCATCAAAAGGTCCCGGCGGTCACAAGCATCATGGAAGGTTGCAAATCTGATGGTATGTTTGAATAAAGACGACGAAAACTTTTTTAGATGTTTATCGACAAGAGGCGGCGTAATTAATTTGTAACGTTTCGGTGATTAACGGCGAAATCGGAACTCGCCGATTCTGCGCAAACTTTTTAATATAACCCAAAAACCATCAAAATTGGATGTTGATCCCATACATTTTAAAAAAATAAACAAATATGCCGTTGGAAGGATTCTTATCTTAAAAAACCACATGAATTATTTGATTAATTGATTGCGTAAATTTGGAATTGATCGATGTAGCCGAAGATTACACGAGATAAAGTGCAGATGTTTTGATGCAATTTAAATTGACTATTAATTTATTATCTAATATAGGTTAAATTAAATTCTGTCTCACTAAAAAAAAAAAATACAATTAATCCGGCATAGTGATCCACTTGTTGCACAAAGTAAAAAAAAAAAGTGTGATTTAAGTTGCTGCACCTAATTTATGCATGACTAAGACCTTTTGCGCAGCAAATCTCGTTACATTCAAAAATATTCAAAAAAATATATAAATGTATATACTGATTACATTTTCGGATAATATAAACAAATAATTATGCATATCTATTCGTACAGTAGATTTATTCCTTTTTAGGTTTATATGAGAAAAAAAAATTGAATTAATAAATACCACATCCTCAAGATGTTTTTAGGAAAAAAAAAATAGTTTTTATTTATTTTCTTCTTTTATCTTTTAACACGAAACATTAAAAATAACCTCGCCTCAACCATGGATAAATTTGAAAATGAATCAGATTACCTATTTCCAAATGACACACATGAAGCTAATAGATTAAGGATGCAACATTATGTTTCAAGGTTCAGTTGGAAAGGAACTAATTTTAATACGCCTTTAAAAAAAGAATTTAAAGCGGGTGGTCTTCGAGTACTTGATGTAGGATGTGGTTCAGGTGGATGGCTCTTTGATATGAGTTACGAATATCCAAATTGTACATTTGTTGGAATCGACATTTCCACAACGATAAATGAAGACATACGTCCCAAAAACCTTGGGTTCATCCAATGCAATGCCCTTCATGGACTTCCATTCTTTGAAAACACTTTTGATTTTGTTTTTCAAGGAAACATGTTCATGACATGGAAAGAATCTGATTGGCCAATAATAATCAAAGATATGTTACGCTGTGTAAAGAGTAATGGTTGGATAGAAGTAAGTTTATTTTGATTTTTCTTTCATTAATTAAAAAAATTAATAAAGTTAAAAAAAGATATTTATTATTTTGTAGATAATGGAAGGAGCATATGACTTTAGAAACGTTGGCCACACAATGAAAATTTTGTTGGATGCAACACAGAATCGTTTTATTTCAAAAGGAATAAATTTAAATATCAAACCATGTCTTAAAGGTTTTCTTGAAGCTACGGGAGAATTAAAAAGTAAAGTTATCATAAATGAAGCAATCACTCCACTTTGGGGAAGTAATTTGGGTGCAGTGGTAAGTTTCTAAATATACTTTTATTATTTCCCTTTCGTGAGCCCTATTTAAATTATTTTCACTCTTTGCAGGCTTTCAAACTTTTCAGAAAGGCGCATACATCGATTGAAATGCATAAATACATGGGTATTTCACAATCTACATTTGAAGAAATGTTTGATGTTATAGCTCAAGAAGTGGAAGAGAATCAAACATATGTTAAAATTCATAGGATTCATGCACAAAAAAAATAGAATAATGACCTTTTTCATTTTTCAAATAATATCCCTTGTAATATAATGTATAATATAAATTTCTTTTTTTTGATCATCACTGTTTAACAAACAAATAAAAATAAAAAAAAATTAAATTTCTGCAGTGTGCATTTCGTACAACGTGTACGACCTTGCGACATTTTTTGTTTTAAAAAGAATCTTCTAAATTCTAGTAATGTATCTAGATTTGCATTTGGACAGAGAAAAGGTTTTCGAATTTCTATGTAGATCAATGCCAAAATGAACTATAAAGTTAATTTTGGCGCGAGAAATGCAAAAAATTGTACACTGAACGAACAGTCGTCGTAAGGTTTAAAATAAAAATATAAATAAAAATTATTATTGATTTATTGTTAATTAATATTTTGTTGACCTAAAACTGCATTAATTCTTCACGGTATTAAAAACTTCGCAAAAACAGAACATTCCAAATTTTCACACTCTTCTTTAAGTGCAATCTTGAGCTCATTCAAAGTTCTTGGAAAGACTTCATGATTATGAAAATTTCCCGTATCAGCTTCCAAATGTCCTCTATCACGTGCTGGCCAACTCGTTCTGGTCAATCGATATAGTTATAATTGTCATTAAGTTTTTCCAACGATATGAATCGATGCATTGACTTAATGAAAACCTAATCTTCAACATTGAAATGGTGATGTCTTTAAAAAATTAATGTAGGTGTTTGAATTAAATTTTTCATCGGTCTTTGATTTTTATCACAAAAACTAACGGACCTTTTAATCCTCCCGCTAGAACTAAAAACGATTTTCGATTCCAGTTTTGAAAATAAAAAATCGGCAAAAACTGGGTTAATTTTTTTTAATTTTTTAAGTATAGAACAGTTGTAATTATTATAAAAACAATTTAGAGCTTCATTTATTATATTTATTGTTAGAAAATAAATATTTAAAAACAAATTAATCAAAAAAATTCTGTTTCGCAAGAAGTGTCTATCACGTGACATTGGGTGTTCAGTCAACATAGTTTAAAAACTATATCAAGTTCTATAGTAAATTTTACTGACGAAATTTTGTGTGTTACGTGTAATATAATGTGTCCGAAACCGGAATTACTTCCGAAAGCTAAAATTTAATTTCCGGTTCATAAATTAAATATATAAGATTATGATATTATACAATATTATAACTCACATATTATTAAACATTTGTGCGATACTAAAGATTTAAACAAGTGTATTATAACTTCAAGAAACTTGAAATACCTCGTTTTTTGTAAATTTCAAAGAGAAAAATTTTTTTCCTATAAAAGCTATCCTCGAAGGTATCAATTTTTGTTGTAAAAATGGATTTATTATTTTTTTAAAAAAAAGCAAGGTATTTTATGAAAGAGATAGCCGCTCAAAACACTTTAACAGAATTTGGAGTGGGGATGAGAAGAAGGTTCGATGTTATTAAAGTATAAAGAACGCATTGATTTAGTGAGAGACTTCTTATGAAATTAATTTTAAACTATTTGTTTTAATATAAAAAAATTCGATAGTAAAATTTACTATAGGACTTGATATAGTTTTGTTAAACTATGTTGACCGAACACCCAAACGTGACATGCTTATTAGGTTTTTATTTTTCGATTTAAAACTTTTTTTAATGTTACAATTATACTATTAATAAAATATTAAATTGTTTCACGCAAAATTAATTATGATCCGTAAGGTATATCGATTCTGTTTAACCGATTTTTGCGACTAATGAAAATCGATTTAAAGTCATCATTAAACGATTTTGCCGAGTTTGAGATTCAAAACCGTTATTACAATCGACTTTCGATTTTGGCGAAATTTCCGACTTTCGATTCCGAACCCTACCTCCCGCGAAACATTCCCAAACCATTACTGATTGTCATCCTCTTTTAAAGGTAGGTATCAAACAATTGGTAATAAACCTTTCCCTTATTCTCCGCCAACTCTTATCTATCTTGACTGCTTTTCCAATCTCATCATAAGACTCTGAAAAAATTATCTTTAAACCATTGAGATTCTGCGTGTGCTTCAATAATAAAAAATTTTCGTATGGGAGGCAATTTTAGAAAATGTTATTATTGAAAACTATATTAACATTTGACGAAAAATGGGCGAACGATAACGAATTTTAAAGACTAGAATATCGATATTGTGCTTGCGTTGATAATAATAAGACCAATCACGAGTGGACAATAATTTAACGAAGAGATGTATTTAAGACTTTGAAAACTGTCAATTGATGGAATATATGATCATCAAAAGCTTGAACATGAAAATATTGTGTTTTGAAGGAATGAAACATTTAATTGCTTGTTATATATATATTTAGATGATATATCTAATGCATCTGCAAACGAGGATATTTTCTGAAGATTTACGCTAATGGAACATTAACAAATGGTGAAATCGTTTATGCTACTAGCAAGTTTCACAGTTATGCTAGATTCAGTGATGTCGCAATTTTAATTAGTGATGCAGATTACTTAATGTTACGGCAAGGTAAATTTTTTATAAAAAAACAACTTTAAAATTATTTTATTTTACAGATGTAAATGTTTTACTCATCCTTCATTATCTCTTGCTTTATTACATACATTAGTTGTTACGATTCTAAACGATATCTTACAATGTAGGAATTTACTCATGAAATTTGTAAATCATTACCATTTGATTCTATTGCAGGTTTAGTGCACAAAATGGTCTCGAAAATGTGCTTTTGTAATAAGTTGCTTTTTTTTAATTTTTTATATTTAATATATAATATATACATCATTTTTAATTAGAAATCGTATTATGTATATATTATTTGTATTATTGTATTTGATACATTAAATATATGATATTAATTAATCATGCAGGTGATCCAACTTAAGAAACCATACGAAATATTTTTAAAATTCCTTAAAGGATCTAATAATCCTGATCTTTAAAACATTAATGATGAATAATGAAATACATTAAAATTAAATTTTTTAATGTTAAAATATTACTTTCTTTAAGGCAACATTTTTAAAAACAAAGAGTGACAAAGTAAGTTTAAATTAAAAATATATTTATTTATTTAAATTAAAATAATGAAATATATTTAATATACTCGCTTCTTTCGTAGTAATTTCTCCAATTAGATCTTGATATTTTACATCTGATCAAAATATTTTAAATGCTCGAACCATGTTGACGTTGAATAATCAGCTTTTTTACTACAACTATCATTAATAATTTTGTAAAGATCCTCTTATTGAAGTTTTTCATAAGCAAAAATACCTAAAAATATAATTTGATGCGTTATTAAGCTTAAAAATGAAAGCAACTCATTTACATTTTATATATCGATAGTTATAAATTTTTACATTGTAAAATACTGTATAGTATTTTGAAAAAAATAATAAATTTTTTAAAACCATCTAGTATAATTGAAAAGTAGTTAACCTTGCGAAAGATCAGGGAAAACTCTAATTTTGACTTTTGAAATCAAGTAGTAATCATATTAATTAACTTTTAAAATCACGGTTTATATGAGTCGTAAGCGGGTATAGGCAGTGCATTTATACATTACTTCCAATGGTATAACATATTGATTGGAAGTTAAGGTCTTATTAGTAAATTATGCTCCAAACTTTTCACAAGTGCTTCCAATAGTGCTTCCAATCTTCCAAGAGCACATAACTGGGTATAGGCTCTTAACTTGTTCATACGGGTAGGTGGTACACGATAGAAGCCTACACCCTAACATTTTAAGGAGGCAGATTAAAATCATAGTAAATCATATGGGACCTTTGTAATAGAAAAGGGGAAACTCACAAAAAAAATCAATTTTACTTTGTTTGTATATGCCAAATATGATTTTCAGACTGAAAATTTGTTTAATTTTAGATTTTTATTATTCCCAACAGTTTCCTCCCTCCTACTGCAAAAGTTCCATTTAATACGAACATGATTTAATATATGGGAGCTTTGCTATTAAAAGTGGGTTCCGAGACTATAAATTGATTTTGAGTTAAATGATGATCAAAA